GAAGGAAGGTAAAAAGCAACATGAGCAAATACCTGAAATGACGACTCATACCAACAAGCCTGCCTTTTTTCTCTCTTTTTTTTTTTTTTTAATTTCAATGAGTCCAGTCACAAAAATAACAACACTTTTTTTTTTGTTTTGTTTGTTGGTTGTTTTGTTTTTGTTTGTTTTTTCTTGGAAAGCCACTAAAAGCAGAGGGAGAGCAAAGCATGCAAACACTGTACACAATTTGCATAGTATATTTTTACCCGGCATGCCTCGTCAGAATGCTACACATACAGTATCTATAGGAGTAAAAAACAGAAAAAAAAAAAAAAAAGGTGGGGGGGAATCAGCAGAAAAACCCACAAAATTTGTATTTTTCGGTTTTATTTTAGTCACGCCTTTCCCAGCGTGACGGAACTGGCTGAGGTACCGGCCACCGAGACATCACCGGGCACCAGTTTGGGTGAAAAACGGGAGGGGTTTTTTTGGGTTGGATCTGAGAAGCCCAAGGTCGGTGGTTTGCAGTGCCAACGACCCGTTTTCATCGTTTTCGCCCCCCGCTGTTCCTCTCGCCTCCGTAAAATCCACATTTTTGCTCGATTCTCTCTCCCTCCTACAGCCGCGGCTTCCCTCTGAGAAGAGGATCAGGCGTATCCCACCTGTAAACACACCTGGGGCCCAAGAACGCGTTCCTTCAGCTTACTTTCCTTCTAAATTTAATTTTTAAATCTCTAATTTCTCAGCAGTATCAATGGAAATTTTGGGCCGACTCCTCCACACCTCGTAGGGTTTAACGTTCTTCTCTCCCCCACCTCCCCGCCGTTCCCCCCTCACACGAAAGCACCGTAGCCCCCCCGATCACTTATTTACAGGGGGATATTTTAATTCCCGACCTTGGGCTACTCATGTATTCGTGGGATATTCACCAGTCGAATGCCAGAATCTGTACATCGGCCAAAAATTAGAAGTTGTTCATGTAATTTCAGCTCTGAGGAGGAAATTAGCAGAAATGAATGCAGTGGACTTTCTAATTTTAAAAGGTTCTTTCTCTTTTTTCTTTTTTTTTCTCATTAATCAGTATGGAAGCAATACAAGTTATTGAAAAATCTACCACATATGCAAAATGCGAGGCTTAGAAATAAACTGCTGAAGTATCAGGCAGCAAGTTAAACTGATCAAAAATGCAATAAATCCATTGAGGCTGGATCAAAATATCTACCTTTTTTTTTTTTTTCTTTTCCAAAAATACAATGCCAAATGCAGTAGTGGAATTACTGTAAATTTGTGCTATTACAAATGTGCTTCTTTTTCCTTGCTCTCTTTTTACATCATTGGCAAAATATATTACTCTGTACTGTACAATATATTTTCTCGCTCTATGGATCTTCTGCTGCTTCTACAGAGTAGAATTAATATCAAAGGGGACTGTGGCATTAAACTTAATTACGCTTTGTTTTTGTCAGGAAACAGGGATAAGGCATATATGATCATCAGTGTGTGACATTTATGGTCAGACCTTGCAAATGCTGGCTCTCAGAGAAGACAGTAATAAACGCCGTGTCCGGTAGAAGGTGTCTGTAGGATCAAGCCCAGAGAGTAACGTGCTGCCAAGAAATTTGAGGGGAAAAAGGCAAATTTACTAAACCAAGCCGCTGCTACTCCCAGCTTCGGAAGAATAAAGGGGATGACACACTCTTACTACAGGCAGCAAGTTAAACTGATCAAAAATGCAATAAATCCATTGAGGCTGGATCAAAATATCTACCTTTTTTTTTTTTTTCTTTTCCAAAAATACAATGCCAAATGCAGTAGTGGAATTACTGTAAATTTGTGCTATTACAAATGTGCTTCTTTTTCCTTGCTCTCTTTTTACATCATTGGCAAAATATATTACTCTGTACTGTACAATATATTTTCTCGCTCTATGGATCTTCTGCTGCTTCTACAGAGTAGAATTAATATCAAAGGGGACTGTGGCATTAAACTTAATTACGCTTTGTTTTTGTCAGGAAACAGGGATAAGGCATATATGATCATCAGTGTGTGACATTTATGGTCAGACCTTGCAAATGCTGGCTCTCGGAGAAGACAGTAATAAACGCCGTGGCCGGTAGAAGGTGTCTGTAGGATCAAGCCCAGAGAGTAACGTGCTGCCAAGAAATTTGAGGGGAAAAAGGCAAATTTACTAAACCAAGCCGCTGCTACTCCCAGCTTCGGAAGAATAAAGGGGATGACACACCCTTACTAACATTGTTAAATTATTTCTACCTTCTCCCCAAATTCTCCATATGGATTCAGTTCCAGTCTTTCTCTTGACTTCTTAAATGGATTCCACAAGTGATGAAAGAGATCGCAACACAAATTTCAATACTGAGTAGCGTTTCCATTAACATTGTTAAATTATTTCTACCTTCTCCCAAAATTCTCTGTATGGATTCAGTTCCAGTATTTCTCTTGACTTCTTAAATTTCAATACTGAGTAGCGTTTCCAGCTCTTTCTCCAACTTAAAGCCTTACATATATTTTATAACATAATTAAAATGTGCCTTTTATTTTTAAAGGCATACCTTTATTTTTCTATATAAAATAAATTGGACTAGAATAACGACCTAGCAGAGGTTATTCAAATGACGACTCTTCAAATAATATTCTCTCTTTTGGCATCATTTTAAAGCTAGTGGGAACCTAATTCCCCCAAAGTTAAAATTGGTTACATTACAGTATCTTCTTTTGTGTTACCCTTTGTAGGACTACTCTTTGAAGGGATGGGAGGTAACAGCAACACAATACATGACAGCAGAACACCATGTATCCAAACTTGTATTAAGCCCAGGTGGTGTAATGCAACCCAGTTTTAAAATACAGATTTTTAGGAGCGAAATGAGATTTGTATCAATGGTATTTTACAAAATATGCATTTGATTATTTTTTTTCTTTTCTTTTGTGGTCTCCCAATTATTTTTGCTTTGAAGAAAATGAAGACCATGGGATCAAGGACGGGCTTGAGAAGCACTGAACTTGGAAAACAAAGTACAGCAGAGGACACATTTCATACATTCCTAAAGAAAAAAGTGACTCGTGAAAGCCCTAACTTACCCAAATCAGTGTGCTATAAAGTAATTTTTTTAGCGAGTGTAAGTAATATTATCATAAGTAAAATTATATTATTTTGAGAGTGGTAATGTCAGTAAAGATACGAGATTGGGGGACATTTCAGAGGAGTCTCCGGTATTGAGACCAAACCAAATTCAGAAGATTTGCCCTCAAACTGAACCTGAAGTTACGGACCTACACTCATCCAGAGGAGCCACCCTCATCTCATCATTCCTGCAGCTCCCTTTCCTCCTTTATGTCATTTTCACTCTCAAAAGTACTTATTCAACGTTATTTTAACAGCAAGGAGCACAAAAGATCAAACCCCCGAATGATTTCCATGGCAAGGTGGTTTTTCAGGATAAAATCTAGGTGTTTTCAGGATAAAATCTAGCTGTACTGCGCTATCAGTTCTCAGGCAGAGGAACTGATTTTTGCCAGACCAACCTGTTTAGATAATGATCATCTAATTTGGCCCTCTGTTGATAAACTCAGATTTGATAGCGGACGCTTCAGTCGCATTCCTTTAAACGTAATTTCATCATGTACTTGGAAAACATCATCAGTTGTGAGTTGCACATCCCATGGGATCAACGTTCCTCTATGGAACTGGTAAAAGAACCTGGATGTCTGTTAAACACAACTTGCCAAAGTATTTTAAATTAAGAGCTTAACAATTAATTGTCTTCAAAGTGGCTTCAGGATTTTTAAAATACTTTGTTAATCTGTTCACAAATATATGAATGCACTGACATATATTGTCTTTCGATATGAAGGTTCATGTTATCACCTTTATTGGCTAAATTATCATTCATCCAAAAGTGTCCTAATGAAAAACTCAAGTAACAACAGCAACAACAAAAAAAAAAAAAAAGAAGTTTTTATAAACATTTCTAAAAACTCTCTGTATAAGCCAGAGCTTAGGAACAGAACTCTGATCTTTAATAATATTTTAATAACAAGAAGAAATGGCGTGAGGACTGGAAAATTAGTCTTACTGGTATTCATTCCGGAATACATGAACTTCACAATTTTCTATAGCGCCGTTGCAGAGGAAATCACGATACAGCTGGCGAGCACTGCTGGAGTTCTAACACACAGACTAGGAGTCAACGTGTCCTCATCAACATTGCAGCTTGTACTGCTTACCGTGTTGCCTAAAAATCATTTACTTTTTTTAAAATAAAAGAGTTCCCATAGCTTGTATCTAGAATAAATTAATCATCTATTAGCATACTCAGTGTATTTGTACTTAAAGATGTATCTATCTTCAAAGAATAAAAAAAAAGCCCAGCGAGGAGACCTGCTGGAGCACTTAATAACTGATTTCTTCTATTACATGGGCAGTGGGAGAGGAGGGGAAACTAATTACATACAACAGTAAAGTAAACTTAAACCCACAGAATAGAGGAACTCGATGTGTTCGTTCAAGACAATACATGACTTCCCTCACAAGCTTGTTTTTATTAGAACAAACAAAGTAGTTTTGGCACTTCAGATGCTGCAGGTGATGGAATTTGTGCATATGTGTCGTGTAGGCCTTTCCCTTTACTAGCGTGACATGGAAGACTTCAAAACAAGGCTCCAAAAGGCTCTAGAAATAAATGACCTTTTTTTTTTTTTCCTTTTTTTTTTTTTTTTTTCATCTAGGAAATGATAAAGCAGTAACCTTGTTTACTAGAAAATATATGTAGATGCTTCGCAGCTACCTGCCATTAAAATGCAAATATCTTCAAGCAGTTAAATGATCTGATCCCTAATGCTACTACAGAATAAAGATAAAGAGCTGTCTAATCTAGGTTTATACATCTCAGTGCATCCTCTGCAATTAATACTTTAATGCACACAAACAAGAAACTCATTAAAGCTTATAGAAAAAAATGTTTTGCCTAACGCCTTCTTTCTCATGCAGGTATGTGTGCTGTACATGTAACAAAGATTTGTAAAAATTACTGGAGAATGCTCCACTGTGCTATAGCGGAAAATATTCGAGAAGGCAGCTGAAGCTACCGTTCCAGACCGGATCCTGCTGTGTTTTCTCAGCCTAAATGCCTTTTTTTCTTTGGAATCTGCCAGCATCCAGCCTGAGAAAATCCAACGGGATCAGGTCTGTCATATCAATTCTTCACTCTGTTACTCCAATGGATGCAGAGATTCTCTTTTTTTTTTTTTTTTTTCTTTTTTTCTTGGTAACCGGCCCATTCGAATCATCTAGTGGTGCCTTTTAGGCAGTGAAGTTGTTTAAAAAATTAATCATGCATCCACAGTCTTTTAATGCTGCTAGAGATGTACATCGGGTTTGGCTGCACCAGATACGAGCTGAATTATTTTCCTCATTGTTAACATCAAGAAAATAACCAGACTCGACAGTGGTGGAAAAATACCAGTGAATTTTTTGCTAACTGGTCCAGAAAGTAGAAGAAACCGTAATATTCAGGAAATTCATTTAGTGCTACATGCTTTTACAGCCTCCTGTTAGCAGGCTTGGGGAAGGGAATAAGCAAATTGAGAAGTTTATGATCCTCATTTCTGAAAGAAATAGGTTTGGACATGAACCTGCATAAAAACCTGCACGTTCAGCGTCGTCCTGTCCATTTTAGAGCACGCAGGCAGTGGGGGATTTTGGGAGTCTCTGCTTAAAGACATGGGTGGGTTGTACAAAACCGTCAGTTATGGTCAAATTTTTCAATCACATCGGATCTAAGGCTTCACTGATCATGTAAGACAGAAGGTCCAATCACATAAATTTATCTGTTCAAAGAAACTGAAGACTCGGGAGGTGAAAAGCAGGGATTGTTAGGACGTAAGGCAGCAATATCTCCACAAAGATTTATCATAGATCTCGGAATCAAAAATGTCAGCTCTACCACTTTACCGTGAGCAGATTTTTTTTCCAAATGCTCTACGACTTTACTGGGAGCAGATATTTTTTTTTTTTCTGATGCTCCATTTTTATTGCAAGCTAATTCTGACCAATATGGTATTCTAAATATTCGTCGTTTAGGAATATTGAACCCCGCCCCTTTCCCTCAGATTTCCTCTCTGGGATTTAACCTGACGTTCTTCTGGAGAGTTTCTTGTGCGATGCTGGAATTTTCAGACATTCAGAGGTGGATTTTGAAAGATGTAACATACAGGTAGGTACTCGGATGTACTGGAATGGAGGTACTCTACGGACTGGGGAAGAGGAGTGTATTGTTTTCCATTTAAAAAGGCAGAATACTGAAAATGGGAGAAAAAAAAAAATTATGTATCTCTACACGGATTTAACCTGACGTTCTTCTGGAGAGTTTCTTGTGCGATGCTGGAATTTTCAGACATTCAGAGGTGGATTTTGAAAGATGTAACATACAGGTAGGTACTCGGATGTACTGGAATGGAGGTACTCTACGGACTGGGGAAGAGGAGTGTATTGTTTTCCATTTAAAAAGGCAGAATACTGAAAATGGGAGGAAAAAAAAAATAATTATGTATCTCTACATCAATGTTCCATTTTGGGACTACTAGCTGTATTCAGGTAAACGAGAGGGAAAAAAAAAACCAAACCAAAAAATACTATTCTCAACCTCTAACCACACAAACTGTTCTCAAGTTTGTTCATTTTCCTGGTTCTGTTTCCCCTTATCCTGTCACAGTTCATCACTGCTGACCGCAACAAAAATGTCAGTACCGGCTAAACTAAAGAAATCATTTTGCTGCAACATTCATGCCAGGTCTAAAAATAACTTCAAACTGGAAAGTATTTTGTAACTGCTGCAATAATTTGAGATATTTGGCACTCTCAATAGTTTACATTTGGTTCGTCTGAAAAAGCCATTCTGGAAATGAATAGTTAGAATAAATCCTTTTATTCTAACCTTCAATGTAAATTGAGCTTCCAGCAAACAAATACTGTAGCTGACTTTCTGGCTTCTAGTGGTTTGTAATTTTCAGATTTTTCATTTGTTTTTGTTTTTGTTTTTTTTTTTCAATTGATTGCAACATGCTCAAGTCGACTTTCCAGTCAATTCACCCAAATTCCAACAGGAATTGGTTTATAAATTGGTTCCAACTGGAACTGGTCATTTGGAATTTCCAGCACAGGAAATTATTTTATAAGTGCCTTGATAAGTACCCTAAATTACAAACGGATGTGTCTAATATCTAACGACAAGAAAAAGTATGGCTATAAATGCAAATGCTGTACTAAAAAAAAAATAAAAATAAATAAAATAAATCCCCAAACCAACCTATATGATCGGGCAGAAACGTAAGGGCGTGGTAACTTATTTTTTTGCCCCCTACTTAACATCAAGTGACAGCAGAGTGCAACCTCAGTATAACTGCGTTACATCTGCCAAATTAAGATGATATATTTTTTTTATTTTTTTTTTCTCCTAGCTACGTTATGGCAAGTTATCAACTGATGAATGCTATTTTTTTTTTTCTTTTTTCCCCAGGTTCTCGAACTCAAAGCCTGTGTCGTGAATCATGGCTGTATCCTCCGGGGGATCCTCGGTTCCTATGGGGTTTGTACGTGTCCTGGTAGGAGTCAGAGTATTCTTCTTCCACTAGAGGATAGTGGTCTCGGCTGTGTTGGGAACTGGAAGACAAGCGGTTCCTGCTCTTCCGAGCCCTTTCATTGTGATAATTTTCATCTGAGGTCATTAGACTTCGTCGCTCAATGGGAGAGTTCTCTGTAGAGTGGCTGCTGTGCCTCATACGCTGGCTCTACGAGGGCCAAAGAATCCAAGCGTTAATACAGACAAAGAGTAGTCGACAGTTTTCAGCTTGTTCTGAGACTTAAATTCTGAGGTCTTTCAGAATCCATCCACTTTTGTGTTAGTCATTTTATATTAAAGGACTGGGTTACAGGAACAGTCTGGTTCCTAGAGCTGAAAGCAGACCAAAGGCAGTGTCACAGTGAGCACCCGGCGGTATTCGCCGCCTCTAAATATTACAGGTCGCTCGGCATGAAAAGTGAGCTGATGTATTCAGCATTTATCACTTTTCTCTGATCATGAACATAACATTCATGCTTCTCTTCCGCTTGGAAAATTTTGAGCATCCATTTATGTGGTTTTAGAAAACATCTGAAGATGTTTGTTGTGGGGGTTTTAGAAAACATCTGAAGATGTTTGTTGTTGGCTTTGGGGGTTGTTGGGTTTTTTATTTATTTTTTAAAAAGGTGCAGTTCTGAGCCCTTTTTAAAAACCTACGTATGACCAAAGAAATAAGGGACTGCTAACCAGGCAGCTAAGGGGTGGCTAAAATGGTTAGGTATTAAATTCTTTCAACTAAAAAACATAATAAATATTTTAAATGTGTTGACAGACAATCCTTTTTTAGGGCAGTTTATTAATTAAAAGGTTTAGCCTTTGCTATCCTCACGTTCAAATAACGTGCTACGTGTATCATGTGAACCCAATTAATATTTTTTGCCCGAAAACTGGCACAATGAAGAAATGGCCTAAAAACACCCTGGTTGCCAGCATCCTGCATTACACCTCTCAGGGGGATGGTCATCCCTGCTCTCGGGAGAACTGGGGCGATCCTTTTGCTCCAGATGACACCCTCAATGTCATTTTTTTCTGATCCTGCCACTGCCCAGAGACGGCTGCCACCATGGCTGCTCTCCTCATCGTCTGCTCCTCTGGGTTGGGAGAGGATCCCTGCCCCAAAACCTTCCCCCCACCTCTCTCTGCGTGCCCAGGGTTTGGGCTGCATAATTTATATGAGAAGAGAATTTCTAAGCTGGTGTGTGCGGGGCAGGAGCCGTGCTGCCGGGTGTTCCCTTACAGCGCAGCAGGTTGGGTGTCACATCTCCTGCCCGGGGGGATCGATGCCACCAAGGTTACTCGTGGAGAGATGCCACACCACGAGCTGGCACAGAAAAGGTGCCCTTTGGCAAATCCACACGCTCAGCTACCGGGGAGCAACTCCTGCCACGTTACCCCCCAGTTTTCATCATGTTTTAGTAGTGATTATATGTCAAAGTCCACGTATGAGGAGAGGCTGAGGGAACTGGGCATGTTTAGTTTGGAGAAGAGGAGGCTGAGGGGAGACCTCATTGCCCTCTACAACTACCTGACAGGAGGTTGTAGAGAGGCAGGTGTTGGCCTCTTCTCCCAAAGGACGAATGACAAGACCAGAGGAAATGGTCTGAAGTTGGGGCAGGGGAGATTTAGATTAGATATTAGAAAGAATTACTTTACTGAGAGAGTGGTCAGGCCCTGGAACAGCCTGCCCAGGGAGGTGGTGGAGTCACCATCCCTGGAGGGATTTAAGAAACGTGTAGACGTGGCTCTTCAGGGCATGCTCTAGTGCCCAAGGTTATTGGTTTGTGGTGAGGTGTTGAGTGTGGGGTTTAGTTGGTGGGTGCGGTGTTTTTGGTGGGCGTTTGGTGTGGTGTGTTTTGTATTTGTTTGGTGTTTTTTTTGTTTTGTTTTGGTTTGGTTTGGTTTTTTTTTGTGGTTGGACTCGATGATCTCAGAGGTCCCTTCCAACCACTAAGATTCTGTGATTCTGTGATTCTGTATTTTCTTCACAAATTACACTTCTCCTATTTATTGGAGCTGGATGTACGCTCTTGATGTATAATCACCTCATCAATTGGAATTTTAACTTTCTGTGCTCGCAGCCTCTACCTTCCCTGTAGGAATTTATCGCTCCAGCTGCAACCTGCTGCCTTCTGGAAACCCTCCTGTCCCCCTGCCTCGAGTGTCACCCCGCTATTTACCTCCCGAGAGGTGGAAGTGTGGCACAGACCCAGTGTGGCTGCACGCTGGTCTGACACCCCAAAATAACCTCTGGTCCTGCAGCGCAGTCGGGATGATAGACTGCATTCTGGTTTGGGCAGTAAGGGACTTAAAATGCCCCGTAGCCTAAGAAACACATCTCCCCAAAAGTTGAATTGCAGGATTTAAGGCCATTTGCTGGAATTAGAGTAGACTGTGTAGGTTTAGAGCTAACCAGGGATTAGGGACAAGGGCGAACTGGCATTTAGGAGTTAACAAGGACAAGATTTACTCTTCCTGTTGAAACACACACAGCTCAACATCGGCATCTTCCCCTTGTGGGCAAGGTCACGGACCAAGGACATGGTGACCACCAGCTTTGGCAGGAGTACACACAGAAGGGACACAATGGGAGCATCCTCTCTTTTTCTCTAATTCTTCTCATTTTGTGCCATTTAACTTCACCCTGATGACCTTCAGGAAGCCCAAAGAGTTAAGTTCAATCAGAAGTTTCAGGTCTCAGTAAGCTAAAGCCCAAGCCACAGTTAAAGGGATGCTCCCAAGTCCTGATTAGGGAGGGGAAGGACGTACAGATCCTCCCAGCAGATCTGTACCACTCTCAGCTGTGACCCTTACACCAGGCTCTGGGCTTCTGATACTCAGTTCCCCAAAGTATCAGGTCAGAAGGGAGTCATGAGGAGTATAAATTCAATATATCATCAGCACCTAAGCTGGTTTAATTCCTAGGATTTGCAGGAGTGCTTTAATTACCATATCACACCGTTACAGTTAAAAGGGATGCAAATCCTTCCAAAGGCTTGAATTAAGGTAGAAAACCTCTAGGTGGATAAACCCTTGAGATGCTGGAGGTCTTTACTGGGAGATAACCACGTAAAACATGGCAACTCTTTGCAGGGGCCCGAATCCTGCGGGCTCCAGCTGGGCATGGTGGGCTCAGGGAGAAAGTGACCCCTCTGCAGAGAACTAGCACCATTCAAGTCCCACCTAAGGCTTCACGGTGAGGGTGAAGTGGGGATTAGGTGACGCGTACCTTCAGCCAGCCCACTGCACAGGGGTGATTTTCATCTTCAGTGTGAGTTTTCCCTAAGCAAATGGAGCAACATGTGACAGTTACTGCTGGTGTCCATTGATCAGAGAGAAATAAATGCCTGAAAAAAATCCTGTGGATACACCCAGTTCTCAAAACGAAACTGAAGAGGTGAAAGTTCTGCAGATGGCATTTTTATTGGCATGGAGGGATAGAGAACTGAAACTTTAAAGGCAAGTGGAAATGGAAAGGACAGTTTACAAGTGCCCGGCATTAGTAAGAGCCCAGTGCTGGTGCGTTCAGCCAGTTGGGAGCTGGTGACTTACTGGGCCTCAGCAAACCAAGCACAGCGCCAGGAAGGTGAGCCCCAAGTACCATGCACCTTCAGGGAAGTGCAGTCCACTCACAGAAAAAACAGCTCTACGTTAAATGGAAAACACTGAACAATGCATCGTTGCCTTCAAAACTGTTACCTGCTGCCAGATACTCTACAAGCAGAACAGAGGTTAAATTTGTCAGGTGAATGAGTCATTGAAAGTCACTCGCTTCAACTCGACTTCTGATGGACAGGAGGAAGGGCAGGCTCCTGGGATGCCACACACACACACACACACACAGACATCACTTCAAAGTTCGCTGCCATCCTGATCTTCTCACGCATTCGTAACTATTAATCAAAAACATTTTCTAGGTTTCAAACTTTAGTAAAGCACGTACTTCTCATTAAGGACTATTTACATGCCAGGTTTGAAGTTTCAAAGTTCAGCCGTTTTTGAGCTATCCCTGTGGAAAAAAAGGGTCAGAATTTTTTTTCAATGGGTAAAAAAAAATAAAATAAAATAAAATATGTATTTTATTCACACTCAACTCAAAAATGATGAAGGCATTTTGCTGATACGAGAGACAAGCATGGAAGTTTTTCACCCAAAAAGCGAATGCTTCGTGAAGTTATGAGGGTAGAAATAAAAGGGCTCATGGCAGACACTGGTCCACGTTCTTAAAATAGGGTTAGCGCGACCGCTGTGACAGACTGTATGGACCCTGATCTGATTGGGGCTCGTTTGCAAAGGCACTTTTTTATTAAAAAAAAGGCCATTTTCTTGGCAGAGCATCATTTAACTCTTCCTCAAGAATTTGCTTCTCTCCAGAGAACTCCTGGACGTGTTACTCCCCGTGAAACCAAGCGCGGTGACGGCGCTTCAGCGATTAACGGCTTCACCGACTACGGGGCTGCTGGCAGTGGCCAATCAGTGAATTATCACTAACGAAGCAAATACAAGCCACGCTATATAAAAACCCATCAGGCTATTTCCCCAGAGATTTCAAAAAAAAAATAAAAAAAACAACAAAAACCCCCACCTGATCTGCCCTGGGTTTTGGGGCTGAAAGGGCTTTTCCTACCTGCAATCCAGAGATGGCAGCCGGGTACGGGGAAAGGGCGGTGGATCCCAAATTGCGCCCGAGGAGAGGGGTCATGGGGGTGGTACTGGTGGTGTGGGTGGCCCGCCAGTAGGCCTCCAGGTACTCCGCCAAGTGCTCGCAGGCATCTTCCAGCTGATTCTCGTCCAAAATGACATCAAACATTTCCTGGTGGCAACGACAAAAGCGGGGTTCGTTACGAGGTTGCAGGTGAAAAGGAGAAACATTCAACAGTTCTCGTCGCGCTAATTCCTTCAAAATTCAATGAGAAAGAATCAGAGCACGGGATTGCAAAAGAAAATTATACAAGTGGGTTTAGAAGGTGATGGAAAGCTGAGGCTCTCAGAAGTCCCTGTGTTCATTGAGGTTCACTAGAGGTTGCCACGCTCAAAAGCACAAGACTCCTTTAATGAATTTATTTCGCTCTAAGATCATAGAACCACAGACTGGTTTGGGTTGGAAGGGACCTCAAAGCCCACCCAGTGCCACCCCCTGCCCTGGGCAGGGACACCTCCCACCACACCAGGTTGCTCCAAGCCCCCTCCAACCTGCCCTTGAACCCCTCCAGGGATGGGGCAGCCACAGCTTCTCGGGGCAACCTGGGCCAGGCTCTCACCACCCTCACACCAAAGAACTTCTTCCCCACATCTCAGCTCCATCTCCCCTCTTTCAGGGTCAAACCCTTCCCCTTTCTCCTAGGGCTCCCCTCCCTCATCAAGAGTCCCTCCCCAGCTTTCCT